TCATCTTAAACAGATGCTTGAGTTTTCACATAATTTTCCTTCTTTGAAATATAATCAATTTGATAGTTTTAAGAAATTGCAGAATTGAATGACTAAAAATAAGCCCTTTCCATCCTGAATGAAAGCAATGACGGACATGGGTGTGAAAATAGAGAAGTAGGTTCCAACAGAGAGTACTGGGTGCTAAAGACCAGACGTATTAACCTACATCTCACTCCGTTGTTCTGCAGTAGGATTTCCTATTTTGGAAGCGATTAGGAATCACTAGAATTGGCGATTTTACTACACATTGATGATAGCTGGCATGCATGCATTTCATTATTCATATTGCGTAAGGAGAATTTAATTGGCATGATTTTGGTATTCCATTTCCTGTTCAAGAACTCCCATCTACTATTATTTTTCTCTTTTACCTACAAATGATAGGATGGAATAAAGTAGGATATGACAGGCCCCTAAAACCATCTCTGCAACCTACAGAGGTCTTCTGAGCTCTAAATATATACTTCGAGTTGCCGGTTTTTACATTCCCTTAGATATCTTCCAGGAATTACAAATTTAAAATACGTAAAACTGAGTCCATTACTTTAGTAACATTCTCTTTTCTATTTTCTACATCATTTAAGGCAGTCATTCTTCACCTGGTTGCCTAAGGTCCCAGAGTTCATTTACACCTCTCCTCCTTTACCCTTCACAATGAGTCACTATGTCCAAGTGACGGAAACTCACCCTCCGTCTTCCTTGCCACTTTCTTGCTTCTGGCTTCCAGGTCTCCTCGCTTCTTCACCTGGACACGGCACCAATGTGTTGATTTGCCCACCAGCCTTTAGTGGTAGAGTCTGTTCGCCTTCCCCACCAACACCTAGGCAATCTTTCTAAAGCACAGTCTGCTCCTCTCACCCCACTCCCTCGGCCTGTCCATCAACAGCTCAGTGGGCTGTTTCTGCCCTTTCTCCATATGTCTGTCTTTACTCACTATATGTATAGGGTTGCTCAAAGGCGCCACCATGGGCTCTCTAGGATATGTGTCCTCAGGCTAGTTCCTGTGATGGGAACACCTTGGGGCCACATCACACCTCAATTCCTTCCTCCTCTGTGAAGCCAGTACTGATAACACCATCTCTCTTTCCTATTATTACTCATGCCTTACTTCCAGGATTTAGTACATCAGACTGGGATGACATTTTTACTTCTTGGGTCTCCCTCCATAACAGTAAGCTGTGAGCACCCTAAGCCCATTTCTCAACCATTTTACCTAGCAGCACGTCATCCATGGATTTAGTATTTGTGGATTCCATAAATACTTATAAATGACACTGAGTGAATGAAAGCTGAGATATTTAAGTTGAATTTTTACAATTCCTATTAATTGGAGACTATCAGTGTTGCCCAGATTTCCCATACATTGAATGTCCTTTTTATGACCCAGCCTCAAAAAGTACATAGCACAGCTTCCACTGTACTTGACCCCTCAAGGCACTCACAAGCCCAACCAGACTCATGGGGAGGACACATGGAGCCTAATTCTTGATGGATGTATCCAAACATTCAATGCTGTTTTAAATCCAATCACCATCAGAGGATGCTACAGAACCAACTCATTATTTTGAAAATATAGAAAGAAAAAAAAATCTCTTATCCTGCCTTTCCTATGTAAGCATATATCTAAGTGATCAAATAGCAGGTGAAGAGACCTCTCTTTAAAGAAACWTTCCAATGAATTAGAATATCACTCTTTTAAAATCTCTAATGATTATTGTATCCAGACAATGACTATCAATATCTGCTAACATTAAAAAAGAGAGGAGAGACACAACAACTTATTATACATCCCCTTTGGAAGAAGAAAACACTCCCACAAAGAGATTTTCTGGAAAATATAAATGATGTCCCTAGAACCTAGGCCGAGCACCCCTTATCCAAAATGCTTGRGACCAGACATGTTTCAAATTTCATATGTTTTTRGATTGGGGAATATTTGCATAGTCTTTACCAGTGGAGCATCTCTAATATAAAATTCCAAAGTGCTCTGAAATCTAAAAGCACTCAGTAAGTGTCAGATTTTGAATTTTTGGATTAGGAAAGCTTAACATATACCAGTTTACAGGGAAATGTATCTAGAGCCAACTATCAATTTACTGAAACCAGAGAAGAAAGAACAGCATGTTAACTGACACTTCAGGGGTGATATTAGTGAAATTCAGACTCGGAAATTTTACCAAAYAAAATGACCAGGTTTTACCAAACAAATGACAAATTTTACCAAACAAATGACCAGGTTTTGTCATCAAACAAAAAAGGGAAAAAAAATAAGAGTTGGAAAATAATCTATATAGGTTTGAAAATCTTATGAATCAAACAGAATGTGTAAACTATTTTTGGATCCTGATTTAGAGAGATAGAGTGTAAGAAAACTAATGGCATTTCAGAGACAACTAGAAATTTGAGCACTAAGTAGATWTACAGTGATATTCAACAATTTATTTTAGATAAAATAACATTATTGAGGGCTTTTTTAAATAAAGGAAAGTCTTTCTGGTAAAATAACATAACATCYGGAATTATTTTCAAAATAGAATAAGGGTAAAAGTCAGAGATAGGAACAARTATCATTGTCTATGAGTTGATTAGTATAAAAGCCGAGTAGTGGTACTTAGGGGTCCTTTATATAMCTTTTTCTATTTTTATATTAAAATCTTCCCATTAAAAATATATATTTTAAAAAAGTTTATTAACTCCCAGTTACACTTAATAAAGTAAAAACCCCTTGGTAAATTCTTTATGCACCCTAGGATCTGGCCCTTGTACTTCTCCAGCACCATCTGACCCACTCTCAYTTTCTCCCTACCTTTATACTACATAAAGCTACTTACTTCTAGTTCCCATGCAGGACTATAATTTCTTATACTTGCAAATGTTTGTAAATTTCCCTTTTTCCAGAATGCCAAGTCCCATTCTCCTCCTGGTAAAATTCATTCCATGGATCACATTTCCACATTGCCAACTRCAGGTATCTGGCTCTCTGCTGAGTCCCTGCAAAGCAGAACTGCAGTGATGGATGCCCATCATTGGCCTCTCCCAGCTGCCTCTGCAGCCCTCCCTACCCTCCTTTCTGTCTTATGAAGCTGATCTATTTGGACTGTATTGCTGGCCTCTGTATCCTCTGGCTCCTGGTCAGGCTTCTCCAGAGGGAGCCACCTGCAGAAGGTCCAGAGGACAAGGAAACCATATGTGTGCTCTTCTCTGTCTGGAAGGCACAAGTTGGCAGCTTCCTCTGCCAATATCACATCTATCAAGGGGCCCCTTCCAAGTACTTCTCTTTCTGTTATGGGTGACCATTTCTTTGTCCTTCGTCCTTCAGSTGAGGAATTGTCGCTTCCTATAAACTTAGTGCACCATGAATAAAGAGTCCCTCTGTTCAACTCTCCTCTGATAACTCACTTTTTATCTGCCCATCTCCCCTGATCAGACACTCATTATACATTTGTAAACAAACAACCCCAAAAAAGACCACATGAAGAAATACAGACATAGACTGAGAAGCCATAGAAGGTGAAGAGTCAAGAAACATTAAAGGGAGAGGAAGAACAAGGGGATGTTGGAATCTCTGTTCGACTAGTAAGCTACTTGGGCTAGAAAGCAAAGATGGATGTTAGGAAAGCTGGAGAATCAGCGAGAACCTTGATGTCAAAGACAGGGAAAGGATTTAAATTTTGACCCTAAGGGCAAAAGGAAAGTATCTGGTAATCCCTGTGCTCTGTTAGGGTTACACAAGGGACATCATCCCTCAGACAATTCTTGACAGCCTTCCACCTCATGGCCAGGCCCAGGAAGCTCTGGCACATGGTAACCATTCAATAAATGTCCACTGGATCAGTGAATGAATGAATGAGTGAACACATAAGGACAGTTTGGGTTTTTTTCTCCCTATATRCCAGCATAATACTTCCTTGCACACCTCCTGTCTGAACTTAATCCTGTTTTTTCTTTGATGTATCTTCCTTGTAATTACCATGCAAAGCACCGGTGAGAAACAGCAGCATATGAGCTATGACCCTAAAAAGCAGGTCCATCTCCATTTTTCATACCATAACAACCCATGTCATTCTAGAGATGGCAAGTTGAACAAGGAACACAAGTCAAGTGATGCAGATTCTTGCYATGACCATTGTAGGTTATTCTGTTAGGCTTCACTGTTGGAGATGATTGAGGAAGTCATTTGAAATTCACAAGAGGATTGAAAAGAGATCTATTTGCTTGATTTTGAAGGAGAAGTACAACCTCCTTGCTCTTGTGCACAAGGTTTAATTAACCAAGTACTAACCAAAGATTTCAAGTAGAGGCTTTAATCTTGATTTGTTTTTTTTCTAACTGATAACATAGATTGATTTACACAAGATAAAATAATAGTATAATTTTAATTGGTTCCTTCATTTAAAAACAAACAGGAATGCATAGATAAAACCTAGTTGAAAACATACTTTTATTACAAATTTACCATTTAATACAAGCAAACAGTATTGAAAAAATCAAGTGATCTCAATATTGTAGCAAGTGAATATTTACTAAAGTCATGATAATGATGTCTTTCTATATGAAATATTTTGAGATAATGGATATGCCCATCTCATGCATAAGTAAGTAAGCAAGATGAAGTTGAACACAAATAACCAATTGAATTTTTGCCTAAATATTCTAGTACTCAGTTATCCAAAATGTACCAAATGCTATGGTTTTCACATCAGTGCTGGGATATTTCTGTGGGATATTGCTTTTTAATTAGTATGAAAATTTTTTATTCTGGTAGAAAATTAAGAAAAGTATGAAATGATACTAATTTAATTTTTTTTGAAATTCAATCACACGTTCATGAGTTTTCACTTTTTTTCATGTTTTTCCTAAGCAACTTTATACTAACTTTATACTGTATAAGGACTATAAATTGATAACCTCTATGATTTAAATGCATTTTGTTTCAACAAAATAGTTGTACTGCTCACCAAAGAGGCCATGGTGAATCCAATGACTTCAATATAGCCATCATCATGACGCTGAGGCTCAAAGTCATGGTGGTCTCCCGGGTTTCCCCAGGGCATTGTGCCAGCACAATATCTGCAGGATAAGGGGAAAAATAGAAATAAATAGACTCTATTCTGCTCATGATTCTGTCATTAGAGATCAACTGGCAGTTAAAGTAATGAATACATATATCAAGACCTCACATAAACTCCATAAATATGTGCAACTGTACTTATGCATCATTTTAACTCAAATCTAAGTTACTTATTTACAGTTAGAACCAATGCTCATTAAATATAAGAACAGTTTTCTGCTCTTGGTATACACCTTTCAAATGAAAAGAAAATTAATTTATCATCTCCAAGGTACGATCCTGCGAAAATGGCCATAATTTTGCAACAAAAGCATCCTGTGGTACCCAAATTTCCCCTCATTATTTATCAACATTTCTCACTTTAGGATTATGTCTGTTTCTATGCTCTCCTATGAATTCTCTTTAGGTGGTTTCAGAATTGGTGTTAAGGGAAGACACACACATACTAATTTAAGAGAGGGAATGGAAATGGGTAGCATTCACCACAATATGCATGATTTTAGGATAAGAAAGGCCTATGAGAGAAGAAAAGAAACTAAAGAAGAAAGTAGAGGAAAAGGAATGGGGAAAGACAAAATCAGAATGGGAGGGGGAAATAAAAGCCATTAGAAAAGTAAAGGAAAGAGAATATAAAATGTCCAAGAAAGAGGAGTATAGGGATAAAAAAAAAGGAGAAGAGAACAAGAAAAAAAAAATACAGAATGCTACTAGCCAATGTTTCCTGAGAATCTAGGCCATCTACAGAACTAAGCTAAAGATATCTCTGGAATGAGACTGCAACTGACTATACAGAGCACTGCCAAGAATAATGAGGAGACTACGATGTGTTTTCACAGACATAAATKTGCATAGAACTCTCATTTTAATTAAATTCAGTCTCAGTAAACTTTATCTGCAGACTTTGTGTCTGAAGTTGGTTAGTGGGTGGGTAACAAAGGGTTAGAGATCCATGCCTTCCAAAATCTTGGCTTGGAAGCCAAGAATCATATTTGGTGTTGCTGAGGTAATGTGCTTATTTTGAGACTAGTTACTCTTAAATATTCCTTTCTTCTGAGATATATAATAGTACCAAAGATAATTGACATCCTGGCTAGAAAATGCTTCTCTAATTGATTCTATTTTTTYAAAGCAATCGCCTGGCAATGAAATCCACACATGAATCAGGCTGGATGGTTTCCTAATAGCTTTTGGGAAACTGAGAACAAAAATTTATTCACTTCTATCACTCCTTGAGGAGGCAGATTAGGGGTAGGAGGGTAGTAATTGAGAACTAAGTGAAAATGTTCCAATCAAAAGGGGTTGGGGGTCTATTAAGGCTGGATGAGTCTAGACTAAGAACGCCAMGTGACACACAAAACCACCTACCACAGAGAACACTAGATAAACCAGKTAGGAGAATAAAATTATCATCTGAAAACCTTTCCTGAGCCATTAAGATAACTGATTTTCTTCTACAAATGGCTATCCAGTTTTCCCAGTATCACTCATTTAAAAATCTATCTTTTCTTCACCTTATGCTTTTGGCACTTCTCTCAAAGATGAGATAACTCTTGTCCAGGTAGGTTTGTCTCTGTGTCTTCTCAACTATCTATTCCCTGGGTCTCATGTCTGKTTTTGGCCAGTATCATTCTGGTTTTGTTACTATAGCTCTGTAGTATAATCTGAGTTTGGGTACTATGATCCTTTAGCCTTGTTATTTATTATTGCTCAGGATTGCTTTGTCTATTCTGGGCCTTTTATTCTTCCATATGAACATTAGAACTATTTTTTTTCTAGTCTGTGAAGAATGTCATTGGAACTTTGATGCAGATTATATGGATTACTTTTGGTAATATGACCATTTTTGACAATATTAATTCTGCCTATCTAAGAATGTGGAAGGCCTTTTCATCTTCTAATGTCTTCTTCAATTTATTTCTTCAGTRTTCTATAACTTCCATTGTACAGATCTTTCACCTCCTYGGTTACATTTATTCCTGGGTCTGTTTTTAAGCTATGGTGAATGTTTTTTGATTCCTTTTTTGAGGGGTTAATTATTGGTGTATAGAAAAGCCATGGAGTTTGAATGCTGCTCTTGTATCCTTCTATTTTACCAAATTTGTCAGCCCTAGATGTTTTCCTGTGGAGTGTTGGAGTCTTCCAAGAATGGAAACAGACCCCTATCTATCAACCTGAACAAAAAGACAACACAAAGTGAATGAAAAACTAAGAAATTAGACAGAAATTGTGCAGCTGATGGAAGAAAAGATAGGGTCAGCACACCAACATATAAGCACAGACACCAGCTCCCTTAATACAACTGCTGAAACTGAAGAAATAAAACCAAGAATCAACAAGGGGAATGGCATTAAATTAAAAAGATATRTATACCAAAGGAAATAAGAGTGTGAAAAATACATATAGAATGGAAAGATATCACTGCTAGCTGCTCTTCGGACAAAGGTTTAATATACAGAGTATATTAAAAAATTTAAAAAACACCAAAAAAAAAAAAAACAACAAATAACCCAATCAGTAAATAGGCAAATGGACTAAAGTAACATTTCTCAAAAGAAAAATGCAAGTGGACAATAAATATTTTAAGAAAAAAATATGTTCAACATCATTAGCAATCAGAGAAATGCAAATCTAAACTACAATGAGATTTCATCTCACTCCAGTTAGAATGTCAAGAATATTATTTATATTCTTGATGGATATTATTTATATATAAAGGAACACTTATATATTGTTGGTGGGATTGCAAAAACCACTATGGAAATCAGTATTGAAATTCCTCAAAAGACTAGGAATGGAACCACCATATGACCCTGTTATTCTGCTCCTAAGAATTTATCCAGAAGAACAAATTAGCACATTATAGTCGTACATTCATTCCAATGTTTATAGCAGCAAAATTCACAATAGCCAAGTTCTGGAACTAGCCTAGGTATCAGTCAATAGATGAAAGAATAAAGAAAATTTGGTATACATACACAGTGGAGCCATAAAAAAGAATGAAATTATGTCGTTTACTAATAAATGAATGGAACTGAAGAACATCAGCTAAGTGAAATATGTCAGAGCCAGAAAGTGGAGAGTAAACTGTTTTCTCTCATATGCAGAMGCTAGARAGAAAAAAGGAATAAATGAAAGGAAATCTCACAAAATAGAAGAAAGATCAGCAGAGTCGGGGATTGAGAGGGAAGGAGGACAGGAGGGAACGGGGAAGAACTAGAGAATAAAATCAGCCAAATTATGCTATATGCTTGTATGAATATACTACAATGAACTCCATGTTTATGTATAATTATAATGTACCTATATATATGTGTGTGTATATATACATGTGTATGTAAATAAACATGAGGAAGAGGAAAGGAAAGGAGACAGGGAGGGTGGGGGAAGGAAGGAGAGAAAAGGGTCAGTATGAAGAATTAATTGAAGCAAATTATGCTATGTATATATARGAATAAGTCACAGTGAACCACACTGTTATGTATGATTGTAATACACTAATAAAAACATAAAATAACTGATTTTTATTGGTAATACCTGAAATGTCTCTGTTATGAAAACAGGTATACATCAAGTCAAAGTTCACATCAAACCAAGGATATATATAAACAGAGCTTACCTGGGTATATTTAAAAATACTATACACTGGAACTTGAGTTCCTGAATCTTTGGGGTGAGATCTGTTCCATCACACTGCAACAATGAAAACAGAAAAAGCCAGGGTTTGAAGCAGTCACAAGTCTAAGAAAATTTTCAAGATAACTGGGTTGACAACAATAGGCACCATGATCTTATTCCCCTTGTCTCTAATTCTGCTTAACTGGRTGGCCAGTTACTATGATTGAAAATTTATGCTTTTTTATAGCTTAACTAGACCCAGAGTTCAGAGCTGGGTTTCGTTTTGATTTAATATAAAACAAACCTGATATTTGACAAAAAAAACAAACTGTCTGTTTTCACAATCACAGTAAATACTGTCCTTCTTAACTTGGGTTATTTATTATTAGATACTTATATGCAGAGAATCAACGATGAAAGTCTTACCAGAATGAAAGGAATGAAGCTATAAATGAAGGCAGTAGCATTAACTACCACAACCATCTGATTCAAACAAGTTTTATTTGATTTCTTTGAGATAATTTTTATGTTTAAAAGGTTAAATGTAACATTTTGAACACTTTTTAAAAGAAAAAGATATCTCTTATAAGTGAGGATAAGCTCCAACAGGCCATCTGATCCTTGCCACAGGGAAGTCAGTATTTTGAATGAAATAATTAATAACTCTCATGAATGTGAAATGAGTATGGGAATACTAGACCAAGAAAACACAAAACAGTAACAAGTGATTACTTTTTTAAATATTTAATCTGTAACAGAAGTGGACTGGACTTCTGAGAAGAAACTGCTTTGCTGTTGATTGACATGACTCTGGTCTCAAAGGCCCAGGCCAGCCTTGCTCAGCGCCTCTGTGTGCTTCCCTGATCTGTCAGTGCTTTCCCCAAAGAGTAGCATCCTCTGACTAATCAAAGGAGACCCTTCCCTTTGCCTTTCTCATTTCCCACTAGTGACAAAGACCAAAAGACAAAAACTCCAGTCAGGGCTACAGACTCCTCAGTGGTCAGAGTCACAAAGTCTGCTTTTCTATTTGCTTTATTCATAGCTTCATCCCAGAATTTCCTTGTTATTGTTTTCTTTTGGGAAGAGGAGTAAAGCATCCCCAAAGTCCCTGATAATTTTTGAGGAGTTCTTTGGGCAAAGTTTTAAACTAAGTAGTAATGATCTTGATAACACTCAAGGTTATTGTCTAAGCACCCGGAGCTTGTCCTGGCTGTTCTTATACAACCTAATTTTCATGAGCATGCTCGAAAATAGCTTCCAAGAAAGCTTAGAGACTTAAATAAGTGAAATGTTTTCAAATGTAATTTAGATAGGAATCAAATTCTAGATGGTGATCAAAGGTGGTTTTAGAGAACTCTCAACTACTAAGCAAACATAAAGCTTCCCGCTTTAAGGACTTGAAAAGAGTGTGTAGATGACTATACTAAAACACTGACTGCTCTCTGTGGCAAAGAGAAGGTGGTCTATGGTGTACACATCTGATCATTCTAGCTCACCTTCCATCCTTTCCATCTCACGGTCAAAACATGCAGTAATATCACTGCAGAGGTATCCTATGTCACACAACACTGGTCAAATATGTTTTTTTAAGAGACATATCTTATTATGCCTGTTTCACAGGCAGGAAAAGCAAGGGGTTTCAAAGGTTCAATGACAGAATCAAAGTCATATACCTAGGAAAGGCAAACCTAAGACTGAATCCCAAATCCTACACTTTGTTTCTAATATTTTTTTTTCCTCCTCCTAAAAGGACATAAGATTACAAAGCTATTCCACCTGGAATATTACATGTATTGGCTGATTCTACATTTTTCCTAGTGATTTGCTGCTATTTTGGCCTCTCTGCAAGCTCATTTTAATCCTTGCTATGTAGCTGCCCATGTATGAAGCAATCATTAAGAGGACTGCCAGAGAGAGAGAGAGAGAGAGAGAGAGAGAGAGAGAGAGAGAGAGAGAGAGAGAGAGACTGACTCTCTGGTGATTAGGAAAATATGCAGAGATTGGTTTCAGTCCTCCCTCCTGAGCAGTTTACTGACATTCAATGTGTCCACTGCCCAGCTATGATCGAAAATTTATGCCCAGCACTCACTAGCTCTCTTGGCAGGCACTGTCAATGTTCCTCTAAATGTAAAAAATACTGGAAGGGTAGTGATGGTCATTTTTGGCTGGGTGGCAGGCAGAAGAAGAAATGGGCAGTTTGGTATAATGCTGCTGGTACTTAACTTTATTGACCATAGTTTTATCAAAATAAAGATCTTCATAGTACAATGGACTTGGGTATTTCTTCCATCTAGTTTTAAGAAAGAAATATTTGAATTATCAAGATTYTCCATCACTGACAGACACTTCTCATATGAGAGCCAAAACACATGCAAGTGATGCCAAGGTTTGTTAATACCWGAGTAATGGGCTTTGTTTCCCATTTAACTGATTTAGGAGATTCGTGTCTCATATGTGCTTTACGGRTGATAACAGATTTTCATTTGTATCTTCTCATGCTCCTCTGTATTCCTCTATATCCTTATTAGCTTAATATCATGTTTTTCTCTAGTTTTATGCATATATTTTTCCAGTTTCTCTGATCACATATTCCTCACCTATGCCATGATAAATCCAAGCCTTACTGTGTCACTACACATCCTTCCCCATTTCTATATTTTTCTCCTTCTATCTTTTCTTCATTTATGTATGCAACTACACACAACAAAGATCCATCCATCCATTTACTTAACTTGGTTCCTATAAGAAACATTTTCTCTTTCTTAACTAATTTTAAGCTGTTTTAAAATGCAGCACCTAGAGAAAGGTAAATTTATCTCTCCTTTTTCTCCAAGTAGTAGATATCTTAAACCTGGGGCAGAGAAAAAGAAATAAAATTTGAAAATTCCATTCAGCGGTGAGGAACCTGACCAGCCTAATGGGTAARTTAGCACAAAATAATAAATTCAGGCAAGGCCCTGTTCTAAAATGGAGTCCTCTCAAACAGTCCTGGAATAAGGACATTTGTTTGGTGAGTTTTGTTTGCACTTCATGAGCCAGATAACATCATTTCTTTGATGAAGGTCTTCCTGATGTCATAATATTCAAGGTTACTATTTTTCCCCTTGTGATACCACCATCTTGTACGTATGTTGAATAACTTTATTACATTATGCTCCAATGATTTAAATGGCTTTCTCCATAACTGGACTGTGAATTTCTTCAGGAATGAAACTAGTTTTTATATTCATCTTCATTCCAGCAACTAAGCCAGTGCCCAAGACATGATAAGTATTCATAAATACTGCTTGAGTGAACCACACTAAGTGATCTCTAAATCACACATAGTCCCAGAGATTAATCCACGCAGACACTGTTATTTAGGAGTTGTTTCTTGTGACATTCATATTCACAGGCAAAAAAAAAAATGAACTGACATATTCAATACTTACGACAACTTTAACATGTTTGGATAGATCTCTAGAACTTCTCTGTAGGAAATCAGAAAAAGCTGCCTATACATCATAAGGGGAAAAACAAAAAACTTAGTTACATGGTTTTTYCATATCCCACTTTCATCTTATAGACAGTTCCCAATGATTCCAAATTATACAAAAATATATAACAAGTTCTCCTTTTGCTGAATCCACAGTAAAGCAGGAAAATGATTATCAAGTTGAAATATTTCTTTTTGTTTTCAAACTATAATCTCTAGTAAAATTTAAGACTACAGACAGAGGGTGAAAAACTGGATAATTCAAAGGGTCAGTGTGAAGATGACTTTGGCTGTCCTCCCTGACTGTCCTACTGGTCTGTTAGATGCTAAAATWATCTTTAGCATTGCCACTGAGAATGCCCTGCTTTACCTCTTTTATTTTGACTCCCTCTATGCAGTGGAATAAACTGTACTTTCTTAATTAATATTTTGGATGACTTTTTCCTGAGGAGGAAAAGAAGGGTTTTCCTTTAATTTCATATCTGCTTCCATGAAATTCTTCCCATGTTCTGTCAATTTGTCAGTTTCTCATCCAAACATCAATGTGTACATGTGAAAATGACATTCTTATCTGAGACTCTTTATACATTTTTCAGTCTGTCAATACAGTTTTCCAACTACCTGCCTGATTTCCCCACTCTTTACATTGGTTTTGATGTTTTCAATATGCCTCCCTGAATATCATCTACTCTTATACAGCATGAAGCCTTGCATCTTTAAAATTCAGAGATGATAAATATCAACTCCCTTTCTGACAACAAACTTAAAAAAACACACCATTACTTTCATTCTTAAATGAAGACATTAAATAGTAATTATATAGAGACAGATAAAAATGTCTGAGATTTGTTATAATTTTGAATATAGTTAGTGTCATTGAATTAATATTAAATAATATATAATGATTATAAAATGAAATATGTACTTACCCCTGCATAAAACATTTTATTTCGAAAACGACTATTGAATTTCTCTGGATTTGCCTCTGTGAAAGAGGAGAGGTAGTTTTGTTATAGGCACCTCATTAGAGATTAGCAGTTTTCCCCCCAGACCTACCTATAATCTATAGGGCCAAAAGATCCTTGAGCAGTTTTGGGTTTGTTTGTTTGTTTGTTTTTGTTTTTGTTTTTTTAATCATCTTTCCCTAGGCTTCAGGGAAATATAGTGGCCCAGTGCTACAAAAGTTTAGCTCCAAACTGGCAACATCAGAGCAAATTGGCAGCTTGTTATAAATGCAAATCATTAGTTCCTACCTAAACCTACTAAATTAGAATGTCTGCATGCAGAGACTAGGAATGGTGGTGAGTCTCATGAATATTAAAGCTTGCGACACTCTGGACTCTTCCAAATAGCAGGTTGGCAGGAATTTGGGGCAGAGATGATAGGGAAAGATGATAGGAGGTAAAGAGGTGATTATTTTCATTGACTTCTACAGGACATTGCTTCCATAAACTATATACACAACTTCCAAATGTAATCAAATATGGAGAATTTAGATAAAAATTAATGGAGAGTTTGCTTTTATAAAATTTCTGCACTACCATCTGTTCTTGCTTGTCACAAGCCTTGGAAAATTATTTGTTTTGATGGAGAATACACATACACACACACACACACACACACACACACACACACAGATGGTCTACTGAATGGACTTGGCTTATTACAGCAAAGGCCCTAACTAAAAATGATTTTAATTTGGATTTTGCCTCTGTATGCTATAAAGTTTGAAGACCCCAAAAGATGAAACAAAAATGTGTGTCAGAATTTTCATGTGAATTCAAGGGATTATAAAATCCCCAAATTAACTATAATTTTCTCAAATGTTTTTCTCCAATAAAGTTTTAAGACATTCTAAAAGAAACTACTGTCCACATTCGGCCTTCTACTATTTTATTCCAGACACCATCATTTCCTTCTTAGTCTAGTCTTTCACCCAGTCATTTCTCGCTAGGTAGCAGGATGACAGGTGAAGCTAACCGTGTTTGTGAGTGCCAATCCCCAGCCATCACCCTGAAGAGTAACAGAGTTCACTCTCCAAGACCAAACAACACGCCCAGGACCTCAAGAAATAATCCTAGACAAATGATTCTTAGATTATTTTCATGATTATTGCATCATCATGGTAGCACATGACATGGAAACAAGTCGAGAGTTACAAACTTTCGTAGATTGGTCCTGGAGAGCTGTCTTCATTGATATACAGTTTCTGTATATCAAAGCTTTTCTATACTCTGTTCTAAGTTCTCTAACCCTAGAGACAAAATGAAATGAAGGCTCATTTATACATTAAACAAAAAGAAGATGAAAATGGCATTAATTGATCTGCATCCTGATTTCCCATGCTTGGCCTGAGAATAAACCATTTTCACATTTTACGTCTAGTGCAGGTAAATGTGGCTATTGAACAACATGTCACTTTTTATCTATTTTTGAATCAGATTTACCTGGTACCATTTGCATGTACCTTTACATTAACTGTCTCGCTTTATGAAACCAGAGGTAAAATGAGAACCTTTTTACTGTGCAATTTATCATGAGTACATAGATACTAATTAAAAAAGAAAAAACAACAACAACAACAACAACTCAGGCCCAGCTATTAAGCAAGCTACAGGCAAGGGAAAACAGCAGCCACAATGCTGGCACAGAACTTTTTCAGGGCATTGATGCCCATAGCTATTAAGTGAATCATCTGTCAACTACTAACATTTATTAATTTTATAATTTATGGTTTGAAAATCTTTATATTGCAATGAGGTTTTTCCAGAAGCTGAAAAAATATTTCTTTTTAAAGAATAGTTTCTTCTTCCTCTCAAAAGACAGACTATTTCTATCTTTAAGATCTCCCAAAATGATTACAAAATTAAGAAATAAGCTGAGTTTTTGGTGATTTCATGCACACATTTGAGGAAAACAGTCACCTCAGATGTATTTAGTGAAGTCACTAAATAACATGAAATAAGAATTTAAAAATAGAGATCCATCAAGACACCTCAGATTCAGAGAGGTGTTAGAGACATAAGGTAAACAGGTAGGAGATTTGCACTTATGCTTTGGGTGTGAGGTTAGAAAAGGTTCAAGGGAATCCTCTTAGTCCCAGGACAAGGAATTTGCATATTATGCTGTGACACACACCCTGATGGCCTTGACAGCTGGATTCTTTTCCTATGTCCACATCTATGCTATTCCAAGCAAAACAGAAAACAAACAAACAAACAAAAAACAGATTCACAAACAAGGGGCAGCTGGAGATGTTTTAGCTTAGACCTAGAGCTTCAACACTTCCAGTGGAAGCCAGGTCATACRAAAGTCAGGAACAGCCTGCAGACAACAACATTCAGCCATTTCCCATTGGCTTTTAAAAAGAGCTAGGATGGTTGATTGTGTGCATGCACAGGAGCTGGTATGCCTTCAGGGAGGACCAAGAGTGAGGACTCCAACTACATCAAGAAACAAAAGGAAGAATAAAGAATTGGGAAAGAGAGAGAAAGTGTAAGAGCTCTCGGTCCTTCAGGAAGTTGTGTCTGCTAGTTGCTTTGAGATAAACATGAAAGGCCACCCTCAAGAAAGGCTAGCAATTCTCATAATATCCCAAGAYTCCAACAGTGGGAGGATCCTTGATACACTGCTCCAATTCCTGGGTTGCCCATTCTCCTCCTCTGCAAGAAGTGGTGTCAGACAGCGAGGCCCAAGCACTCCCTGGATTCATCCAGATCTTTATTCTGTTCATAGTGTGACTGAACACCAATGGTAGCTTTATTAATTTTTTTATTTCTGCCACAACAAATCACTATAAACTTGACAACTTAAAACAACATCCATTAAAACAACATCCATTAATTTCCTTAAGAGTTCTTCAGGTCAAAATTCTGGACTAGACTCTCCTGGGTACTCTGCTTAGGGTCTCATAAGACCCAAATCAAGGTGTCATACTGGGAACCCTTATTGAGGGCCATGGGAAAGATTCACTTCTAAGCTTATTCAGGTTGTTGGCAGAATCCATCTCCTTGGGGTTGCAGGATGGAAGTTCTCTCTCATTGCTGGATGGTGTCCAGGATTAGTTCCCACTTCTARAGGCTTCCTGAATTCCCTGGTTCCTGATCCCTTCCTTCATCAAAGTCAGCAATGGAACATCAAGTCTTCACACTCTGAATCATTAAGACTTCCCCACTTGCTCTCCTCTTCTGCTTTTAAGAGCTCATGTTTTTAGTTGTGTCCATGCAGATAATCCAGAATTCTCATCCTATCTTAAAGTCACCTGATACATTAACTTGCATCACATCACAGAGTCCTTTTGCCATGTAAGGTAACACAGCTGACAGAGCCAGATGACAACTGGTTGTGGAAGCCAAAATGCTACAGTCATTGTCCACTGTCTGCCACATAATCCACATCCCTCTCATATGAAAAATATATTCACTCCCTCCGAGATCTCTAAAGACCTCATCTCATTATAGCATCAACTCAAAATCCGAAAATCTCATCTAAATCTCATTAGCTCAAATTTCCCAAATCTTATTATCTAAATCATCTAAATGATTTAGCTCCGGATATAATCCATTTGTAATGATGATGGAGCTGTGGGTATAATCCATTCAATTGACTCAACGTATTAACAGCAGGCTTATATCCAACACAATAGCATGACAGGAGCCATCAGAATGGGGATCCTAAAACCCTGCTTTTGTCTGTGATTGGCCTTGCAGATATAGCTTTCAGTTCTTYCAAATATTTATTTCAGTCCTGTTATCACCCTCTACGTCTTTGGAGGGCCTGACAAAAGCATATTAGCTCACTTTACAGAGTTTATTCRTTTACTCTTCATAAGCTTTTCTCCCCTTTCTCCTTTAATGGCCCTTGCAAATGACGCCCAGAGACTGTTCTATTTGAGCCGGTATGATGGCCTTCCTGACACCTRTGTCTTCAAGAAAGGAGGAAGTCCAAAATACATGAGTCACCTTGTTCCTGTAGTGCTTTCCTCTTACAAAGACAAACGGTGACTGGTGTATAAATAGTCACATCGCAGTTGCCTTCCACACATAGATCATTTCTAAATTCCTAACCACCTTAAATATATAGACATTTTCAAAGATGATTACTGTTGCAAAGCACCTCTAAGGTTGCTTAGCTCACAGCACAATTTCCTATATACTTCTTTTCTCTGTAGAGCTTACAGACAATAGCCCCATCCCTTTGTCCCCCGATAGTTATTTCCCAGGAAAGAATATAGGTAAAGAATTCAGGGGGTTATCCATCTGTTGCCACAGATCTCCACCCAGCATCAAGTTACCCAAGAGTCCAAATAATCCAAGCTCATGGAAGGGCTCATGAAACACATATTGGTTTACCGTCTCAGATACTTAGTGTTTCCTTAAGTAACACACAATTATTATAAYTTTAAAGTCAACATTCTGATATTCCAAACTTGTGAACATGCAAAGCCCAGTGACCAAAATTTAGGAATGAAATCATGAAACCATACCCCTGCAGAGGCATGTCAAGATGCCACTCTTTGGCACTGCTCATGWAAATTCAGTTCTACATACATATTATAAAACCCAGTATGTGAAACAAAAGACAAGCAATCCTATGTTCTTCATTTTTGGATAAAAAAATCCAAATCACATTGAAATATAGAATGAGTAGTCAAAAAGTGATCGTGTAGGATTATTTATATTTCTGAATGTATACAATATAAAACAAAATATGTATTATGTATTTATAGTGACATAAATGCACCCTTGTAATCTTAGACTTTTTAAAATAAATATAAAATTTATAAGACTTCTGTTTTCTGATATAATTCACTGCTTTAAAATGTATAAGGACTAGTTGTTATGGTTTGGATGTGGTATCCTCCAAAAGCTCACATGAAAATAATGCAAGAAGGTTCGGAGAAAAAAAATGATTGGGTTATGAGAGTCTTAACCTAATCAGTGAATTGCTCACCTGATGGGATTAATTGAGTAGTGACTGAAGGCG